AAAATAAATTTTTCCCACTTGTTAGTTTTAAATAATGATCGCATGGTAGAACCTATCAATAATAATTAAGTTTGCATAACTTTGATTGTTCATATTTTGGCACTATTTGTCAAATAGTAATTTACTGTTGACGTTTATTTAGAGAAAATTTTGACATTTTTGATTTCTATAGCAAACTATGTGAAAACGGGTGTGGCTAGTAATAAATTTTCTGTAGTTTTAACAAAAAGTCCATAACTTGAAAATTATTAAATTTAGGTATAGGGAATGTTAATACAGCTCAATACACAATTAAATTCTCTTCGATTTAGTAAAATAAAAATTGGGGTACTTCATTTGAAAACATTGAGTTATGGGTATTTGAATTATTACAAAAGCAACCTTAAAATTATAGAATGTGTTTTTTTTTCAAAATTTGAAAACACCAGAAAAAGGACCTAAGCTTTGTCTTTCAAACGCTGAAAAAACGAATTCAACATCTTAAAAAATGGCAGAGTTACCGATTTTTAAAGTGGAAGATGCAGATCTAAAAATTTTTGAAAAACTCCAAATATTTCAAAAACGGCTAAATTTAGGTATAGGTAAAGCTGATGAAAACTCCCTTAAAATAACCCGTTTATTACAAAAAGGCAGTAAAAAGTATACCTTTCCATTTAAAATAAGAAAGTTGAGTCCGACTTCGAAAGCGAAAGTCCCGCCATCTTGAAAATATTTTCATTTAGGAGGACTTAATGGTTTATATATAAATACGATTATTCGAACTTCCAATACTTCTACTTCTGTAGTTTAGTTGTTTTGAAAATTTTAATTCCTACTAACTGCACTATATAAACAAAATGTTTTGGCAGTTGCAGACAAAATTAATTTTCCTAATGCGAATCGTCTTCTTTCGAGTTAAACAGATTGAATTTGTGCAACTTGGTCCTGCTTAAATCTTTAAATCGTTCGATATGAAAAATTGGAAACTTTCCTCAACTTTGTAAATTTCTCTAACAATCAAAGCGTCTCCTGCGATGATTAGAGAGATCTCTGATTAATGATGATCGAGAAATAAGGCCGTTTTCTCAGAGATAAAGCTGTTGATTAATGTCGAGCCTCACGCAAATCATATTAACATATTAAACGCCTCCGGAGACTGAACTCTTGCAAACAACAGCGATTTTGTTGTTGTTCACTGTATGAGATTAATAACACGTGCCGGCTTTGATTAAACACGTAATTATTGTGAATCGAGACGGAGATGGAAGACTCGTTTCGACAAATTGAAAAACACGGAGAAGATGGGTTAATTTATTCGGATGCGTGAGGAGAAAAGGGTGGGATAAGTGAGGAAAGGAGCAGCTGCGAAGGTGTTTTTTTCTAAATGGAAAGGAAAGTGCCACACTTGTTGCGAGTTATTTGATTTCAGCTGAAAAAACGCCTGAAAACTGAAAAACACGTCTCTCGTTGAGTTGCTTCTTGTGAAAGCCACCCCCACCCCCTGTTGAATGCCAGATAGGCGATCTCAATCGCTATCATTACTCATTTTGTTCCGGAACGGCTGGACCGTGTCGACACACGCAAAACGTCATCCGAAATAGAATTTATGTTATCCAACAATAGCGTTTGTCAATACCAAATCTGTGCAAAGGGTGGGGCTTTCTGATATGTAGTTCGGACGCGTGACGGCGACACACTAGAACCGTCCATGATTCACCCCCTTATCGCCCTGCTGGTGGTTCAAGTGGGCCGTGCGTGAGCCACACTACAAACGCACCCTCTCCTTCTACCACCACTAATTGATTCCGAGATACCAACTCTCTAACTCCTTTAATCCGTTGCAATCTCTAAACTTTCAGGAGACACACTTCAAGCGAGTGTCGTGACGTAACGGAGCCCACCACCAACTTTCGACGATTCTTATCCTAAGCCCGATAAGCTACTTACAATTTCCCATAACGAGAATGGGGTAATTACTTAAGGTGGGGGTGCACGGAGTGCAATGCAAGCTGTGGATTCAACAAAACACAATTTTTGAATTATTGAATTTTCACAATTTTTCTGTTAATAAACTGGAAATCTATTTTTTGTCAGTTCAGTGGGTACATCTAGTTTTTGTTACGTCGATAGAAATAATAAATTCATGTTATAACATCAAATACCCCGAGTAGAACTGACACTGTCAGATTTTCTCGACGTTTATAGGGGGCTCGCGGCTTTGCCGCTCGCCCCTTTCTAGATCTCAAATTTATGTTTTATGTTTTATAAAAAAATAAGTTTAGTGTGTCTCTGGATTGACTTTGCAAAAGTAAAAAAATGTATCATTAAGTTTTCGCCAAAACTTATAAAAATCACATTTTTGACTTGGCACAAAAAGACTCACTTCTACTCTTAATGAGATAATCTACGATTTTTTACTTGTACATCATTTTTTTCACTCTGGTAGTTAAAACAATAGACTAATAGCATTAATCCAGCTTTTAAATAATTAATAAAAACTCACACGGATTTTGACAAAATTTATATTAATTTAATTATTTATATTTATTTAAATTTATTTCGTCTCTTTTTAAACCTCATACTATCTGATTGGCAAATATTTTATATAATTGGATTTTCACATTTTTTCTGTTAATAAACTGGAAATCTATGTTTTGTTAGTTCTGTGCGTACATCTAGTTTTTGTTACGTCGATAGAAATAATAAATTCATGTCATAACATCAAATTAAAAAATTAAATTAAATTAGACATTTGTTGGACAAATTTCTTTTATATTGGGCTCTTATAGTCTTAAACAACACTTCATAAATCACTACCTAATTATTTCAAGTTGACCACTGTGCAAATTCATTGGGTTTCATATCGTTTTTCGCCTACATTTTGTGCATTATTTTCGTCATCTCGCAATGTCAAAATAACTTTATGATTTATTATATTTTTTGCTTCAGTAAAAAAAAACACGAATTTATTTCTTGGTTACATCTCATTAATTTTTTTTATTCACAAACGTCACAAAAGTAACCGCTTTTATGACCACCGGAGTAAAATTTTTTTTGCGCCTAAGCGTTTTTACTTTTTCCAATGCATTTTCTAGCATAAAATAACTAATTTTGGTTGTGACATTCTTTTTTGACTTCCAATATGTTTTCAGTTGAAAAAATAACAGTGTTAACAAGCGGACCCCACACTTAACAAATTATGAAAAATTTTAGTAGCAAAAAAAATTGAAAAAGTAAGATTAGGTTGTTGAAAGAATTCTAGAAAGAATTCAAAACTCAAATGCTTAAAACAATTAGATGTTGAAAGGAGTTGAACATAAGTACATAATTTAGAGAACCATCCACTTTACGGCCCGGATTTAGCTACGCTAGACATTTTCCTATCTATTTTAGATGAACAACAGTACCTATAGCAAAAATTTAAAAAGGCTTGCTGAAACTTTTTCAAAATGCTGAAATACTGTCCACCTTACAAATCCGATTTAGCTCCGCTTGACTTATTATGAGAGACTTATGGAGTAACATTTTTATTACAACAAAATAAAATCGAAAAAAAAATTTGATAAATCAGACAAATTCAGATATCTGTAAAAACACAATTAAAAATTTAAACATTGAAAAAGTTAAGTGATTTTAGCTCTGATCTAACTTTGTTAACAAATAGACAAAAAACCCTTAATTATGGAATTAGTTGTAAAATTTTTAAAATTAAATCCAAATTGCATGGAATTGGAAGTATTTGGAATTATTAAAATCATAGAATTGTTTGGAATTACTGGAACTATTTGTGAATTACTAAAATAAATGGAATTCTATTTGAAGTCATGGGTGATAATTTTTTATACGTAATTTTAATTACGTTGAATTTTTTTAGAACTATTGAAATTAAATTGGAATTGCAGAAATTATTTTGGAATTACAAAAATTAAGTTAGTATTACAGAAATTAAGTTGCAATTACAGGAGTTAAATTGGACTTATGGAAGTTAATCTTCTAAAACAAACTAAAACAGTAGAATTGCGATGTATTATTGGAATTACAGAAATTATTTCCGAATTAGTAAAATTTTTATGGAATTACTGAAATTTCTTTTGAAACTACTGGAATTCTTTTCGGAAATATCAATTTTTGTTTTTAAATTACGTTGAATTTTTTACAACTATCGGAATTATTTAGAATTACAAAAATTAATTTGAAATTACATGAGATAATTGAGAATTATAGGAATTAATGTAAAAACACTGAAATTACGATGGATTATTGGAATTTTGGTGATTTTTTTTAAATCGGAGTTAGTTTTTCAAATTTGTTCAAAGTTGAAAAAGCGTTCAGTTTGCTTTAATATTTATGAAAATTATGTGGTTCTTAGTTATTCGGCATAATTCTCGGTCTACTGTGTCTTTTTTTTTGCTTACTTGCAAAGCAAGTAATGATACTTTGTTCATTTACTTGCTAATTATAGTGTTGCTCTTTACTCTTGATCTGGATATCAAATAGTGTACGTTATTCGGCGTAAAAGTGAGTTTATGTGGTTCAGCCGTATTATCAACTAAGAACCATCACATAAACTATCACTTTTACTCCTAATAGCATAAAATACTCTTATGTTTACTTCCTTCATTTTTTGATGTGCAAGTAACAACACATATTTACAAACAAGTACACTTATTATAATTTTTATGCAACTCTGATCGCTCGTTTTTGTACATGTGAAGTAAAGCATGAGCAAACACAAAACATACACTTGTAAAATACATACTTTCCCTTATTAGACTACGAAAGCGTTTCGAAATCTCTCTCAAATTTATTAACTTCTAATTGTGCTGTTTGAATTCAGTTTACAACAAATTCTAATAAGATTTTCCCTATAAGATGTAAAACAATATGTTGCACAACTCAATGCTCTTATTGTTCCTCAAATAATAGTGAGAATAATCTCTTTGACTTGCTACATCAAAGCGTTTACTTAAGTCAAATTTCGTAATGAATAGAAACACTTTTACCTTGATTTATTTATTTATTTAAATACAAATGTACAAAAATGGACTGTGTATGTACAAAACTTAGAATAAATAATAAAATTTGTAAAATTACGGAGCCCCATATTCGTACCCGGGTCGCCCTTTGTTGCCATACCCTGAAGAATACGAGTCATAATTGTTCCCATTATTGTACCCGGAATTGTAATTATTCCCGCCTTGGTAGTTGTTGTAATGCTCCGGGTAATGCGCCACGCCTTCGTACCTCACATCGGCGTGGAATCCGGTCTGCCAATCGGCGTAGTAGGTGACGATCTGGGTCCGACCATCTGGTAATTGAACCCGGTATTCGCCTCTCACCTGATTACCATCGCTGGCTTCTTTCCGGTTGTAGTTGTTTCCGGAGTAGTCGTCTTTGACTTGGTACCCGAATTCGTACGCTTTGGGCTGAAAAGTAGCATTTGGGTCAGATATGGAAAGGTTAATCGGTGTATGGTTCAGTGGTTTTGGCTAGAAATGGTACCATTGCAATCGTGATTGCTCTGTTTATCGCTGAAATTAATTTGTGTTGTTTAGGAATGTTGTTTTTTCTGGTTTTTTATCGTGACTTGAACTGTTAGGAAATAAGTTATGTCTGATCACGATTTTACCATAATTTGGGTACTTAAGGAATAATAATTGGGTCATGATTGTAGTAGGCGTGATAGATGTTTGTGCTGTTAGGTTGATGGATTATTGATTTGTTTTATATTGGATTAAAAGGGTTTCAAAAACGCGATTAACTACAAAATTTCTTAATAATTAAATTTGCAAAAAATTTAGAGAAAAATGTTTTTCTTTGAAATTAGTATTTTATATTAAATTAAAACAACGAAATTGGTTAAAAATTTTACTTAAGTTTATCAAAATAATGTCTAAACAACTAAAATGAAGCTAAAACAACAAAAAAGTTTTGAAGAAATTTTGTTGTTGGCTTTTTCTTACTCTTACCAACAAATTTGAGCAAAGAACTGTAAAATAATACACTTACCGGCACAAAATTCGATCCATAATTTTTATTTAATTTTTCTCAACTAATTCTTGTTCTACAAGGCAGCAATTTTTTGAGAACGTTAAATTACACATTTTAAAACCAGCTTAAATTAAATAACAAATTTTTTATTTTTTCAATAACAAAAAAAAATGCAAAATTTTACGAAAACATTAAATCCGGAATTATACCTAATAAAGAGTTAAGACCTAAACCGAAGTTTTATTATTTTTTTACTTTGTTCTTTGGAAAACATATTTTTGTTTTTTTTTAACTTATTTGTTTTTGATAATGAAAAGGTTTAAAACAAAGTTGCCAAAAATGTAAATGAAATAGAAGTAACCACAATTTCAAGGTAATTACCCCAAAAAATAAATTTCTCATTATTTAAACTCAATAAAATAGTACGTAAAATAGTCATTTTGTAACTATTTTTAGTACTATTTTTTATTTTTAACCACTATTTTTGAAAAATTAATCATACACAATAATAGATTGAATTGTGTTTTTTAGAAGCTTTATCAAAATAATGTTGTACTAAAAATTACTATTTTATTGTTAGACCAAAGTGAAAATCATTGAGAAACAAAATAAAAAAAATGTAATAAAATAGCTTGACTTTGCGAACAAACATTACCACAACAATTGAAAAAGCAAAATTATGAGCTGGTAAAAAATTTCAAAAATAATTGGAAAAAAAACAATTTCAGTGCTACCAACAAAACCGAAAATATTTATTGATATTTGAGTAGTTTAAGATTTTATTTAAAACCTTTTTTCTATTTTTTTTATTATTTGGAGACGGTGTGTGTAAAAGTGGATTACGTTTCAGCAAAAAACTAACAAATTGAAAAAAATAGTTACAAAAAAATAAAAATAAATACAATAAAAAGTTTAATAGTAAAGCTAAATAAGCTTTACTTAAACTTTACTACTTTAATAAGCTAAATAAATAATAGCAACCTAAATATTTTAAAATCGTTTCTCATTTTACTTAAGTTTATCAAAATAATGCCCAAACCACTAAAATGAAGCTAAAACAACAAAAAAGTTTTGAAAAAATTTTATTGTTGGTTTTTTCTTACTCGTATTTACAAATTTAAGCAAAAAACTGTAAAATAACATTATTAAATAGTATAAACGTTTTTTTAAGTATTTTTTTTAGTACCTATTTTTTATTTTTAACCACTATTTTCGAAAAATTAATCATACGCAATAAAAAAGTGAATTGTGTTTTTAAAAGCTGTATCAAAAAATTTTGTAGCAAAAATAACTATTTTATTGTTAGACCAAAGTTAAAATCATTGAAAAACAATATAAAAAAAATGTAATAAAATAGCTTGACTTTGCGAACAAACATTAAAAATGACGCCACAATTTTGACATTTATTTCTGACATCTGTATTTATTTATGTTTGTTTAATGTTTCTGATGATCTTGTATATGATTTTCATAAAGTATTACAGATAGAATTTTTTTAACATTTTTTAATAATCCTGATATCTTACTATGAGCCCTGCTTGTATTAAAATAATCAACAAAAAATTATGATTAATCAAAATAAAGAAAATTAAGAAATCAATTATGGTAACACAAACAAACTTCGGAAAGGAAGAATATTATATTGGTGTTTCAAAAATAATTGAAAAAAAAACAATTTCAGTGCTATCAACAAAATGTTTATTGATATTTGAGTAGTTTAAGATTTTATTAAAAATCTTTTTTTGTTTTTTTATTATTTGGAGACGGTGTGTGTAAAAGTGGATCACGTTTACGCAAAAAACTAACAAATTGAAAAAAAAACATTTACAAAAAAATAAAAATAAATACAATAAAAAGTTAAATAGTAAAGAACTGCAAGCTAAATATTTTAAAATCGTTTCTCATTTTGTTCGTTTTTAACTATTTTTACTATTTAATCGTTAATTAAAATTTAAATAATGAACAAAAAAAATGGAAGTACAAAAAACAAGAAATCGAAATTACATAAAATCAATAAAAACACTAATTCAACAGAATTTTGTATTAATTCTCATTGCACAACTCACCATTCAGTTTTATGAATGGAGGAATTAAAAAGTTGAATGAATACACGCCCACTAAAGAATTACAATTAACCGGAAAAAAGTCAAGTAGCCACAAATTACAACATAAATTAATGAATTTTGCCGTCCTACCTCCCCATGGTCCCCATGGTCTCCATGCCCATGCCCCTGGTCGTACCCATTCCCGTCGTACCCCGCAAAATTATTGATGGTATTAGCCAGAGGCGTCCCATAACTCGTGCTCGGGGGTTCACCCATCGCCGCCCCCAAAACCGCAACAACGATCCAAATAATCTTAAAACCACAAAACCTTAATTCCAAGCATTGTAACCACCCCGCAACCCTACCTTAGCCACCATCACGCACCACTTAACGTAACACAAGACTACCAGACGCAAAACTAATTTGGTTTATATATGGTATGCGATGTTTAGTAACCCATTGTCTGCGGTTAAGACTTTTACTCCAGTTAACTCCCACAAGTGGTTAAATCCCCGCTGCGCTTACGTTGCGTAACGTTACGACGACAATTTTACGTTTCAATTAACGATAATTGATGAAAGATCGCCTCTCAAGCTGAGTAATTAAGTTTCTATTTGCATTGACGTGCGGTTTTGTTGTTATTTCGATCAAAAGATTGTTGATTTTTTCATTTGAAGAATGAATAGGAGATGATGAAATTTATTTTTCTAATTAATATTCAAGCTTCGACAAAATTGTGAAGATGTTCTACAAAGAGAATCATTTCAATTTCCACACATCGAGGGATGATATAATCTAAAATTGTAGGAAGTGGCTTCATTGCAACATTAATCTTATCCTAATTTATTTCTGTTTATTTTCACATGGCCTCAATCAGCGAGGAAAAGTCTTTCTAATGTCTTTAAACCACAAGTTGAAGGAAAATTTTGTGAAGGAATAAGATGTTTAGATGAGAATCTACGTTTTTGTTGTGCAAACTCTGTTGCATTCATATTTGGTGTGAATGAAGCGTCGATGATATCTATGGTAATGAACAGTCAAGGTTTACTCTTGTTACATTATGGACATGGAAAAAGCTTTTGTAGTGACATAAAATCTTGATTATTTTTGTGTTCTTACCTAACCATAGCGCTATTCTCTTTTATTAACCGATTGTTTAGACACAAAAGCGGAAAAAGGCGTGATTAAGCCGAGATTTATTACTTTACAAGAGTTTTGTATCAATCAATTATTCCCACATTACGCACTGAAAACCATAAAAATTAAGTTATTTTTTTACTTGTCATCAATACAAACTTTTTTATTAACAGAAATAGTCCAAATTACATATATTACATATACAGAGTGATCTACATACTAACTTTACGACTCTTTTTAATAACATTAAAAAATAATTTAAAAAAATTAGTCAACATTGTTTTTGTAATTTCTCTCAAGACAGAAATAAAATTTCCACCGGGGTTTATATACATATAATTTTAAGTAGGACTAGAAAACAAGGATAGTAATAAAAGTAGGTAATATGAGGTCAATAATGAGTCACTTTCCAACGTATATAAAAATTAGATATGTCGAGTAGAAAAGGCAACATTTTTAATAAATTTTAAGAATTCCGATTTTTTATTAACAGAAATATTCCAAATTGCATATATTAAATATACAGAGTAATCCACATACTAATTTTACGACTCTTTAGTAAGAGCATAATAAGCAAGATTTTTAATAAATTGAAAATTAATTTAAAAAAATTAGTCAAAATTTTTTGTTTTTTTATTTATCTCAAGACAGAAATGAAATTTCCACCGAGATTTATATACATCTATTTTTATGTAGGACTAGGAAACAAGGATAGTAATAGAAGTAGGTAATATGAGGTCAATAATGAGTCACTTTCCAATCCAACGTACATAAAAATTAGATAAGTCGAGCAGAAAAGGCAACATTTAAAATAAATTTTATGAATTCCGATTTTTTAGTAACAGAAATAGTCTAAATTACATATATTAAATATACAGAGTGATCCACATACTAACTTTATGACTCTTTCTAGTAAGAGCAGAATAAGCAAGATTTTTTATAATTTAAAAATTAGTTTAAAGAATTTGTCAAAATTTTTTGTTTTTTATTTATCTCAAAACAGAAATGAAATTTCTACCGAGGTTTATATACATATAATTTTAAGTAGGACTCGGAAACAAGGATAGTAATAGAAGTAGGTAATATGAGGTCAATAATGAGTCACTTTCCAACGTCCGTCAAAATTAAAAAAGTCGAGCAGAAAAGGCAACATTTTTAATAAATTTTATGAATTCCGATTTTTTATTAACAGAAATAGTCCAAGTTACATATATTAAATATACAGAGTGATTCACATACTAACTTTACGACTCTTTTAAGTAAGAGCAGAATAAGCAAGATTTTTAATAAATTAAACATTAATTTAAAAAAATTAGTCAAAGCTTTTTGTTTTTTAATTTGTTTCAAGACAGAAATGAAATTTTCACCGAGGTTTAATACATATAATTTTAAGTGGGACTAGGAAACAGGGATAGTAATAGAAGTAGGTAATATGAGGTCAATAATGAGTCACTTTCCAACGTATATAAAAATTAGATAAGTCGAACAGAAAAGGCAAAATTTATAATAAATTTTATGAATTCCGATTTTTTAGTAACAGAAATAGTCTAAATTACATATATTAAATATACAGAATGATCCACATACTAACTTTATGACTCTTTCTAGTAAGAGCAGAAAAAGCAAAATTTTTAATATATTAAAAATTAATAAAAGAAATTAATGTCAAAAATTATTTTTATTTACTTTTTTAATATTAATCTCAAAACAAAAATAAAATTTCTACCGAGGTTTATATATAATTTTAAGTAGGACTAGGAAACAAGGGTAGTAATAGAGGTACGTAATACATATACCTAAGGTCAATAATGAGTCACTTTCTAAAGTTCGTCAAAATTAGAAAAGTCAAGCAAAAAAGCAACATTTTTAATAATGTTGATTAATTTTGAAAATATTTTTTTATTATCTGTTGATTGCAAAAAATAAAATTTAAAAGACGCATATTAATGAATTTTTTACTTAAAAATTTTAAAAAATTAACAACGAAGAATA